CTTCAACAAGTGAAAATTCTGCTTTTAAATACAGTCTATGTATACCTATCACACTATTAAAATTATTTTCATTCATATACAAAACTCTTTCTAGGATTGCCTATATTTAGGATGACGCATATATGCAGTCTTTGAAATAAAGCAAAAATTAATATAAAAAGGGGTTAACATAATGCTCGATTTTAAGGGTTAATTGTGTGAGTTAAGAAAAATAATTATATTTTTTAATTTCACTGAATTTACCGTTAGCTTTTTGCGTTTACAGAAATTTGAAAAAGCTCCCGGTTTCGGAAATATAAGGTGTCAAAAATTCAAATTTTACTAATTTCAAGAGGCGATAACTTGAGAGGGGGTGGAGATGGAAAAAAATTTTCTTCTAATGAAATAAACTATTTGTTATTGTCTAAAAGCTCCTAAAATTTTAAGTTTCTACAGGCTGGGGTCTAGAAAAAAAACGACATCAAAAATTTGGAAAAAAAGGACTTTAGATAACTGTAAATTTCGACGGCCATTTTGTTTTTCTAAAGTTTAACTATAGTATACCGCGCTAGAGGAAGGAACCAACTGCCTTTGTGGGTTTGAAAAATTTCAAAAATGCTTATGGTTTCATTGCAACAAATATTTAAAAAAGGCCATTTTTAGGGTTTTGGGGGGGGTATAACTTCTATAGGGGGGGAGATAGGTAAAAATTTTGTTCTACGGAAGTAAGTTGCTAGTAAAGATCTATGTACATATAAAATTTCAGCTTTCTATCTTCAAGGGTGTAGAAGTTTTGTAAACAAAAAAAGTGTCCACAGACGGACGGACGGACGGACGGACGGACAGAGTGAAACTAATAAGCACTTTTTTCAAAAAATTTTTTGGAAAAGTGCTAAAAATTAGAATGTTGATGTTGACAACAACCCTTTTTCAAAATGACAATAACATGTTTTATCACTTATAAATTTATTAAATATTTGTATTTATACATACATATATATTATTACGATTTACTGTTATTATAATTGCGTAATGTATATAGGTAAAATATTAAAAAGTAAAAATAATAAAAATATTATTTTTTTACGATAGTTTTGAAATTTAATTGAAAGAAAGTCATTTACGTCACATATCAAGAATGTACTATATAGGTTTATGACATATATTTCGTTATGAATGCACATATGATTGAAATTGGTCAAAAATTCCTTATGATACTATTAAACTACAAAATATCCAGTAAAAAATATCCGTCAAAATACCGCCGTCAATAAGTTACTTAAATACAAATAAATTATTACAGTCAACCACGTTTAAGTGTTTTTGATTATTTATCACACAAAATTTTGTTAATACATACTTAATACTAAAATAATATTTTGACATTTAAGTGTCAAAGTGATTGAATCGTTAACTATATCTTATCGTCTTATGTGAAAATAATTAAAATTTATTAATTTGTGACCAGTGCTAAAAAATTTAATTAAAAATATACTAATAAGACCTTAGTTTTTATTTTTATGTGATCCCAATGCAGCCTGGTGATAGTTTCGGGTCATCAACCTTTATATTTGACCAATTTAAATTTCATTTATTGTTCGTTCTTGTGATTGTAATTTTACAATGTCAAATTCTACATTTCGAAGTTTTTTGGTCAATGGGAACAGTACATTTTCACAGCAATTTACAGCCTACATATTTTTTATATCTTTTTTCATGAACCAAGTCCCGGAACCGCATAAGAAGACACACTTTAACCTTGAATTATAATACATGAACTTCATTTTGCCATGCTATTTATAAGAAAAATTCTATACACAATTTAAAATGCCAATTCCCATTGGTTCCAATAACATCTAATTTTATTTTCATGCAAATGAAATAGAAAATTATTCAAATTTTGAAGAATTAAATAGTTTAAGTTATTTGAAAACAATAAAATTATTGAATATTTTCTCACATAATTATTCAAAAATTAACATTGATAAATTAAATGAGCAAATTCGAATTTTTTTTTTATATTTAAATAAAATTTGTATATATATGAAAATTGCATTCGTGTATTAAATATCAGAAAACGGAAGTGAAGTCAACTATTTAAATTTTATAAGGATTTCGGAAGAAATTTGATTATGAAATCATAATTTCTTCTTTGGAAGCATTTTATTAAATAAAATGTAGCGCAATATATTATCTGTATATCACGCTATATGTTATATAAGTTATTAAATAGAAGCCTGTTTCGAATAATTATTGTAGCGCAAATTAAATATTGGAGATTACTTATTGTGCAAATTTGAGGGCAAAAATTGTAGACACCGCCTAGTCTCACAAAAGAAAAATTTATTATAGTTCTATAATAAGAAACATGAAATATATTTGCTTGATCAACTATAAATCTTTATTTAAATATGCAATATTATAGGCATATAATTAATTACTGATTATATTCTAATCTATTATAAAACACAACTTTATCCGATTTGGGTCAGGTTCTATTTAAAAAAAAAAACAGAAAAATAAATTACCTCTATAAAAATAATATTTAAACTTTATTCCAAATAATTAATTATATACATACATACATATATTAGTATACGATATCAAATTATAAAACGTGATTTCGAAAATGAAAGCTAAAATTGAAATTATAAATGGATGCTACAGAAAAAAAATGTTCTGTCTTTTTTTTTTAGGTCAAATCTATTTATGGCGAATTAAAAGTTTAAAACAAAAAAAAAAAACCTATTTCGGATAATAAACATTAATCAATTCCCTCTATATTTTTTAAAAAACTCAATATACAATAATTATTATCATTTACTACCGTCCCAAATTGTATTCCTCAACTTTAATTCAGAAAAGTTCTTAATGAATGAGAACAAAATTTATTTTCATATACTGCGAGGTAAATTAAATCAGATTAGATAGCCATTAAGAGTTTTTTTTTATTATAGTACATGTCCAACAAATTTGAAAAAAAAAAATGTGCTTGTTAAATTAACTATATCCGTTCGACTGTTTAGAAAACATTTACACCCATTATGGAAGTTGAAATTTAAAACACTGTGCGAGTACATTTGATATTTGATCCATTTGATTTTTGCACGAAATAAGTTTTACAAAAAAATCCTATATGTTCCTCTGTATTTCTAAATGCTACAGTTTTTCAATTTTTTTTAAGATGTTAATTTAAATATTGTGTCAAAACTCAGAAATTTCTAGTAATTTCAATGTTCTTATATAAATTAACTGTGGCAAACATGACTATAAAAATATCTTCGCTGAAAGTAACCGTTATCATAAATTTATTGTATTTTCATAAAATTTTTCTCTTGGACTGTAAATTTTAGAGGTCAAGCACTTTAGCAAAATTTCAATTTAATTTGAAAAGTAAAGCAGTAAAGGTATAAGTTTACAAAAAACGAGATAAGATAATAATGACGACAGAACATCGTATATCAAAAAAAGAAAAAGTATTTTTTTCACTTGTTGAAATGAAATGTGCTACTTTCCAAACCGTGAATTCGAACCGAATAAATTTTTTTTTTATATTTATATTGTTTTTCTTTTCAGATGTCTGCTAGACCGTGAGATTACTAGCGACTATAATTTTTTTTTAAATTAAATTCCAATGTATACTTTTAAATCTGCATAAAATGTTAGAATTAACAATCAATGATTTTAAGATATGTAGCTAATATAATTTGGTTTCGATATGAGAATTTTAATTTTAGCAATTTTAACTTATGTTTTCGAATTGAACGTCATATTTGAAATAATAAAGCGGGGAAATAATTTTTGTATGCAGCACGTATAGATGTTGTACGTTTTGCATTGCTTGCTAAAAGACGACGTGCCATTTGCAAAATTGGATTTAAAATGGAAAATTCTATCATAGAAATTTGTATTTTTGTTCAAATACCTGTTTCTATCATAGAAAAATTCTTAGATTCTAAAAAAATTTAGAAAATACTAAACTCTGAGGTATTGGCAACCCTTGCTAAAATTTCCGTTATAAATACACATACATACATAATATGTACATATATAATTTAGAAAATAATTTTTATTTAATTTATCAAATCTGAAAAAGCGTTTTTAAAAATCTCACTGAATTGAATAAATATAGAAATTACGAGCAAGCAAAGCAATCATTATCTAGAGTTCTTTACCATTTCAAGATCATAAATTTGTGATAAGAATACCATAACATTTCTGTAAGTACAAAAAGATTAAAAATTTCTTTAATCATTAAAAATTTCTTCGTCATAGAAAAGAACAAGAGGAAAAAAGCAAAAAAAAAAAAATTGTGGTATAAAAAATTGCTAATAACGGCTTTTATTTTTTAGGTATCTTAATCTTTTCCAGTAAAAGCAAAAAGTTTTTTACAATGAAATTCTCGAATTTTTCTTTTCTACATCTTTTTTTCTTCCATTATCTTCGCATTTGCGTATATGGAAAGATTAATTAAGTATTAACTCGTGCTTAAAAATAATAATCAAGAAAAAAGAAAAGCTTAGTGCTAATTTTAATTTTTTACATTCTTCTTTTATTTTTTTTACCTTTCTTAGACAAAAATTCTAAAATATTTCATTTCCGAATTCAGTCATTATCAACTATTTTTCAAATTACTATCATAATCATCATCATCATAAAAACAACTAATGATTAACTGTCGCGATGAAGTTTATCTATATTTTTTTTTTTTTCAAATTAATTTCACTTCTGCCAAAAGAGGAATTTTTGCATATTTATTAAATTATTAATTTTTTTTTAAACTTTAAAGCTATGACTTCATTGAAAGAAAGTGTAAAATTATGTGATGTGGATGCAAGAAATAAAGAGATTTGAGAATCTTCATCATTTTTGGAATTTTAAATTTTGCAGAAAGAAAAACAATAATTTTCATTATACTTAATGCATTTAAATAAAAAATTATTTAGTTATTTTAAATTAGGAATTTTTTCAATTACAATAAATTAAATTTAAATTTAAAAAAAAAATAATAATAAGTGAAATTTAAAAGAAAAAATATGATGCGTTTTAGAGTAATAAAAATTATTTTAAGTCTAATATTTTTAATTGTATTTTTTAATAAAAAATACCATAGTGCTAATTCTTTAACAATTGATAATACTTTAGTGGCAGGTGGAGAAGGTAAGATTAATTCTTGAAACAATATTATTAAATTTAATCTTTTTTAAAATTTGAATATTGTTTTCAAAAAAAAATTATGCAAAATACAAAAAAGTATAGTGTTAGAAAAATTTTTCCGAAACTCAAGAAGGGATTAATCAAAAACTCAGAAAAGAAACCAGATCTCTTAAAAGGGGATTGGTTCATTTGAAATTATATAGGTTTGTTGAGCTTTACCTAATTTTTTTAGCCTACAAAATAACTTCAAATTATTTGCTGTAACGCATATAAACCAGAAGTATACCATATTTAAACTCTAATTATTAAATGTTTTCTCAGAGAACTTTTTCGGAACCAGAAATTTATGAAGTGTTTGCAAAACATTTCTACTAGTATTTTGGATTACTTTTCGAACTCGTTGGTTTTTCACTCTTAATTAATATAACATATGTAGTTCCCTTAGTACTCCTTTATCTGAAAAATCTTAACATGTATGTTTAACTAGTTTTTACAGTAATTTCAAGGTTGATTCTGAAAACAAATATTTTAGTTTATTATGATTGCTAAAATATAATAAATGTTTTAAAACTCCTGTAAGAATAGAATGTATTTAAGTTGAACTTGACATCTTTTTTATCTATATATCTAATAGAATATGTATGTGTACTTTTATTATGTAGCAGTAATGTATTCGACCCCAACATTTTCCTATTCCTATAAATTTTAAATCAAACTGATTCTATATATTAAAAGCAAAATTAAAATTTACTCCCGATGAGCGAAATAAATATCACATTTATGCAAAATATGAAAAAAAAAATGAATAAATTTTTGATGCATAACAAAAATTAAAATACGGTTCGCTCTCCTCTTCACAAATTTTCCAAAGAACCAAAGTATTTTAGACACATATAAACAAAGTATAAAAGATGGTGTAAATAAAATTGGAAAGAATTATTTGGATGAAATTATTCTGCTATACTTTTTTTTATGCACAAACATTTACAATATATACGAGAAACATCATAAAATGATCATGTCATTAGTTATTATGAACTGAACTTCAATGCCAATGACTTCATCTATTTTAGCTGCTCATCAAACTGTTTATTTCTTTTATTTTGTTGTTTTTTTTTTTTGGTCCAAACTTAACTTTTAAAAAGCTGTCGCACATATTTAAACTGTATTTTAACATTTACAATTAATTCAGGTACATGTAAATTATGCACGAAAACTTTAACTACATGTATAACAGTTAACAATAATGGTGTAAAAGAGCTACTACAACCACATCAATTGTCATATAAACACGCCAAAATTATCATTACAATAAGTCTTTTCTTCAGAGTAATTCATATGGAAAATTTTGATACCTTTTATTTAAATACTATTTGTTTGTATAGTTTGTTCTATGTATGATGTGGTGAAAATGGTTTTTAACCTAAAAGTTTAGAGATAAAACAGAAAACAACGTATTAAAAACAAAATTCCTAAATCTAAAATAAAAGATATCAAATTTTGAGATTAAAATAAAAGATATCAAATTATTAAGGAGTTGATTTTTCGAAGAGTGTAACTTAAATATCTGACTATGATACATAAATAATATCATCAACAATACATAGTGAACTCAAAATTTTCATGCAACAAGTTCTCGTGCAACACGAGCATTAGTTTTGCTTTATTAGATTTTTTATGTTTTTGATGCGTTATTACTTGCAGTTGTCAACGTCAAATTCACTCATTACACTAGGATATTGTTTGCATTTGAATTGAACGCTTGGTGATTTAATTCTTCGTGAATCTAAATCATTTAAATTATTTTTTCTTCCATATCCTAGATGTGATATTTGTCATATGTATACAGTATTTTTGAATATTATCTCTTCGATTATTTGGCATCTTTCCAAGTTTGTAAGGAAATATTGAAGGTGTAATGGGTGATATTCCATTCAGTTGGTCGAATTGTTCGAAAAATTGAATCACTTTAAATTTAGTTGTGATTATAGTATGACAATATGTACGTCTTTTATCCGAAAAAGAAGGTACTGTTGCAAAAAATATTCGAATAACAATTGATTTGAATAATTACAAGTTTAATTATACAAATTTTTAAAAAAGATTACAATAAAGTCTATAGAATGAAAATGTACAAGAATGGATTTAAATTAAATTTATTTTCATGAACTTTTATGACAGATCAATGTTCCTTTTTTGTTTATTATGAATAAACATTACCACCAAATGGAAATTCTAAAAAAAAATCTTTTTAAGCTCAATGACATTGAAATAATAGTAAATATAGGATTTTTTCCAACAGCTTTGTCGTTCTAAAACACCATAATTTAATTATAAAAAAATCATAATTGGGATCACAAACTTAATTTGTTATGCGTCATAAACATAAACAAAACAAATGATTCAAATATTCTGTGTATTTTTTATTTTGATAGCGATTTTTTGAATTTTACAGTTTAAATGACGGTGTTAACTAGAAAGAATAATTGTTATTAATTTAATTAGAGATTAATTTCCTCACAAATTATCGAATTTTTTTAATTTAAAATATTTAAGCTAAATAAACAATTACCACTTTCATTATACAATCTGCCATTATTCATTATGCAATAGATTAAATGTCTTAACTATATACAATTTTATTTAAATATTAGAGATAGTTTCAACATTTTTAAACAAAAATTTTATTAAAGGTGCAGCAACTTCAAGTAAATTGTTAATTTTACTTTTAAAATAGGAAGTTATTTATAATTCCCTTAGAAAACTTGTAAAACTAAATAATTATAGATTTCCGTTGAATCAAACACTTAAATTGGCATTGATTGTTAGGCAATGTTCTCAAAAGTGACAGTTCATACTTTTAACTTTTTGTACTTTGTATATTATAAAATAAAATTATTTGATTTTTATTATATTTTAAAATTTAATTGAATTCCTTGTTTTACAGACTGCTTTGAAAGAATTGCACTTGGTGCAATGCTGCCATTAGATAAAACTTTTCGCACTGAAGATATAAATAGTGAAAAGAAATGTAAAGAATTGTGCCTAAGTATTGGAGAGAAATGTCAAACAATATCATTTGGGTAAGTCAAATAAACTTATGCTAATTATTTAAATGATTTTTATTTTTTTTTTTGTTTTTTGTAGATTATCCATTCGTGGAAATGGAACGTGCCAAATATCATCAGAAAAAATTGAAGTAGTTGGATCTAGGCCAATAGGAACAATTTTCGATCCAAATTTTGATTTATTTTTAAGGAAAACAAATTGTTTAAGTTTACCAACGGGTGGAACTGATGTGCCATCACCAATTACACCAATTGATAGCAATAGGCCGACAACTGGTTTTGGAACAAGTAGTTTTGCCTCTGATACCACAGCATTTGCAGGATCAACTTTTGGAACAGATCCAACACCCGAAATATACTCACCACCATTAAATAGACCATCAACACTGCCAACAGATCCAACTGATACTCGTTATCCTAGTACAGGCCCAGGATATTTAACAACAAATATTGATAACACAATGGGTACAACATATGTTATTCATGATAATACTCCTGAAACAAGCTTTGGTACAAGACCAAGACCAACACCTAGTTATCCTACAACACAATATGGAGGTTTTACCACACAATATGGAAGTGATAGAATTACATATTCAGAAGGAAATCCTTTATATCCGAACCCTACTCTTTATGAATATCCTACAAACCGACCTGCTTCATATGCTCCAAATATTCCAACAGTTGATGATCGTTATAATCAGTATGGCTCTGTAACTCAAAGAGTAACAACACCCAGGCCTATGTATGGTTCAGGTTATGGAAATGGCTATAGTTATGGCACACCGGATCCAAATCGCCGAAGGCGTCCAGATAAAAATGGTTACTACCCAGGACCACCAACAACATATGATTCTTCTGATTATGATCGAACTAGATATCCAACTACCAGACCCGATTACAACACAACTCCAGAAAAAGAACGACCGGATTATAATCATAGTAATAATGGAAATGGATATGATAATAGACCAGATCCACCATATTCTGGTGGAATGCCGAACAATAATGGTCATCCAAATCAAAATGGATATGACAACAGGCGAGATCCGGAAAGAAGGCCTGATGATCGCAATCCCCCTACATATAATGGAAATGGTAACAATGGAAATAATAATGGACATAATGGATATGATAATCGACCTAGCACGGGAAAAAAGCCGGAGTATGATGATAGACCAGGCTACGATAATAGATGGCCTGGAGATCGTGACAGTAGACCTTACGATAAAAAACCTGGATACGACAACAGGCCAGATCCAGGATATGGAAGGCCCGAATATAATGGTAACCCTAATTATAATACTGGCAGTCCTAATTATGATAGACCTGGATATGATTATAATCAAAGACCACAACGGCCTGGTTATGAAACTTCACCAACTAATGGTCCATCTTATAATGGGCATGATGTACCCGGATATGATAATAATCAAAGACCACAACGTCCCGGTTACGAAGCTCCGCCAACTAATGGTCCATCTTATAACGACCAAGACAGACCTGGATATAATAATAATCAACGACCGCAACGCCCTGGCTATGAAACTCCACCAACTAATGGTCCGTCTTATAACGGATACAAGCCTACTGATCCTCTGAACAATAATAGAAACCCCACAACAACTCGAAGACCTTATGCAGATAGTCATCCTACGGAAACAAGTAATGATAATACAACTTCAATAAATGGTCAAGGGAATGGCTATAATAATCGGCCTGATCCTGGATATATTGGTAGACCTAACGGCCATAACGGATATTCGGGCCAAGGAAATGATTATGGCAATGGGCCAACAAAACCAATAGTACCATCAAGCAGTAATGGAGATTATGGTGGTAATTGGAATGGATATAGACCACACGCAAATAGAACAAGACCAGGATTTCCGAAACCAAATGATTCACATTCACATGATTATGCGTCAAGACCTGAAGGTAAATATAACGAAACAAATGAACATACTATAGAGACTTATTTCAATCCAGATGAGTACTTTCAAACGCGTTGGACAGGTAAGCTATAACAACTAGTATAATTAATGATTTGAAAATGAATTGACGTTTTTTTGGAAAAATTTTTGCAAGATTGCTTTTTTTAATGCAATGGAATGGTGATTTTAAACACTAGACAGATTTAATACACAATATTCTAAAATTCTTCATAACTTATATAAAGTAAAAAATTTTCCAATTGCAACTTTGTTTTTAAAACGTTCTACTGCTCTGTGACCAAAAATTTCACATTTACCATGCTATGATCATCTCTAATCAATTTCCAAATATGTTCGAAAATGTGAACTTTGTCCACCTTCTAGTCCTTTTTACATAATATATTTACGATCCAATTTATAATTACATAATTTTATGGTTAAATGAACAATTTAATAGTAAAGATTCCGGTCGTCTTTTCTTCTAAGCAATAACTCACCTAAATATTTAATTTGTGATTTGTTTTTCAACTCGAATTCTTAATTCCCAGTCGCCCATACATTCAATCTTTCTTTTTTTTTTTTTCACAAACTATTATTCGTTTTCAGAAGATTCGATTTTGTTGTTTTTCTATTTCATAATTTTATTGCATATCGTTAGAATGATAGTTATCAAAATCTGTATCCTGAAATTATGTAAATATAGTAAGACAGAAAATATTACCACTATGCCACTATGTAAATATTTCAATTTATTTCACAGATGACTCGTTAATATTATCACATTACCATAGTAGGTTTCTCGTACTACATAGATTAATTAACTAGTTTATTTAAGTCACGACTGTTTTATTAATATCACTTTTCAACATAAACTCAACTTTGAACTTTTATTTTTTTTTTAATTTTCAATATATTCCTAAAATTACATATGTAAGTTTTTTAATCTTAAAATTATTTTCCATTTTAATTTACAAAATAGTTAAGCCGGCTGGTTATGGAGAACGTCATGATATTGGATATTACGATGGTGATTATAATAGCGAACACCGTTTTCAATTTATGGAATACAATGGAGGTAAATATGTAAAAGTAGTTATAATATTATAATGAAAATATTTTTATGTGCATGAAAATTTTTTTTGTACTTGGAAAATTTCTCTATTTTAAATTTTTATATTGCTAGCAAGGTACTAAAACATTCTCTAACATTTAAAAGAATTTTTTGCATACACATAGGATGATATAATTCGTTAAGTTGAATTTATCGTTATAACGATAAAACTTTTATAATACATTATTTGTATAAAACATCACATGTGTATAACAATATTTAAGAATGGTCTTTGTATGGGATTTGCATATTTTTAGAATGAATTCACGGTCTTTGCTGCTGTTGTAATAAAAAATTTGAAAATTTAAATTATGCCGTTAATAGTTTAAATAAAAATTTTTTTTATTTATACAAGAAAATTAATTTAATTAAAATATGAAAATTCTGTATTATTTAAATTTAGGTGATCTGTTTAGAAGAACCAGAATATCACCAACTTTACGTTAAATGTTGTTATTCAAAGCTACAGCCAATGCCAGTATTGTAGAATATATGAGCCATTTCAAGTTATTCACGATCTCAGCATTTCAAATATGATTTTGGCGTTGTTACGTTGGGATTTAGCAAATCCCAAACGTAAATTTAGTTTCTTTATGAACTTATTATTAATTGATATACATATATTAAGTGCTTATATTTTGGTAATATTTTACACCATTTATTTTCTCAATTCTTAAATGTCAAACTGAATCAAATGGATATAACCAAAGACATTATAATGACTGTATGTATTTTTAATGTCTTTGATGTAACAATTCGAATCATGCGTCAAGTCTCAAAACTAAAAGCACGAAAAATCAAAAAACAACACAAAAATCACATGTTATCTAAGTACCTTGAAAAATGTACTTCCATTACTCATTGCTCGCGGTTGAAATCATTTTAAATTAATTAACAAATCTGTATGTATTATACATACATACATAAATGCATATAATGGGCTAAATGCATGTAAATGGGCTTCAATTATAAAATTCATGTAATTTTAACTATTATAATATGAGTTAATAGTATACACTAAAAAATTTAAATTAGCATAACAAATGAGATGTTGTTATATGTGATGGTATACTCGGTGTTTTATTCTCTTTAAAATTTGTTTTTAAAAATAAAAATCTTGACATTTTGATTAAAGTTGTGCTTTTTAAAAATCTTAATAAAAATTATTTGTAAAAATAAATGTTAACACAATATGAATGCAACATAGAAAGGAAAAAAAAATATAAAAAATAATAATATAGTATAGCACAATTCTGTTATATTATAACGGAATTTATTTAATTATTTTATTCTTTCATGTTAGTTTCTAGGTAAACATTTCCTTTTCAAGAAAATTGTAAATTGAAGAATTCTTTCAAATAGATTACTTAGTATGTAAATTAATTCTGAATTTAAGAAAATCACATATAACACATATTTTTACAAATTTCTTATGTCTAGCATATTTTTAGTACTCATTCACAAATGACGGTACAAATACATGTATATGTAAATGCATATTTTGTTTTTTAAATAAATTTACATATTAAGGAACTGAGGTAGATTCACTTTTAAAATAATATGAAACAATGCAATTGAAAATTTAAAAGTCAACAAGTTTGAAATTAATGAAAAATTTTGGAAAATAACTTAAAAATTGCCAAGAAATAAACTTCGAATTTAGTTGGAGAGCATTCTAGGTATTCTATAGCGGAGCGAATAAAGCTAAGTCTCATTTTGAGGCTTATTCTGAGTATCGATAACTTAGTGATATTTATCGTAAAAGTTTTAAAAGATTTGTTATAGACTCAAATTATTTGTTTGAATTGGTTTATGTTTACAATAATAATATTTAAGTTTTTACGATAGTTATCACTTACACTTAGTCAACTTGGTGATTCGATACAGTGAACAAGCCTCACTATTTAATACAAAATTATTATGAGTTGTTGTATTGCTTGTATTTAAAGGCTTGAACCTGCTTGATATCGTCTTATAACGGAAAGTTTCTTGAATCAGCATTCATTACAAAATTTGGAAGGGCCCCCTGAATTTTGCTATAATTTCATTAAATTATAAATTTGATTATATCTTCAAATATTTTACAATTATTGTCGATTACATGTGAATAATATTTTTAGGCTGTTTACAAAATCAATACATTATGTATAATTAATAGTAATGAGGCTATACGCTATCCTACTGATCATACATAATATTTTAAAAGGTGTGACATTTAAATAAAATTTTGATTAATTTATTTTAGCTCATCCCAAAAATTTTAATCGCATTCACAAACTAATTTTAATATAAAACTCATTTTTTCAGCACTTAATCACTTTTTGGAAAAAAAAACCAAGTTAAAAATAACAAAAACTCCCAAACTCAACAATGAATTAAAAAAGCTTTTCGTTCTTTGCAAATAATTTCCGTTTTCCATTAATGTTCTCCTTCTATTTTTTTTTTTTTGTAATATTTTTTTTTATGTCAAATTCTGAGATTTAGGTCATTTATCCATGCACAATTATATTGCATATTTATATACATAGATATTATAAACTTAAATATGCATAACTGCATTCAAATTAAAACATACATAAGTACATATATATTTTTTTTTATATTTTAATTAAATTACAATTTTAACAATTGCTTGCGAATGCATTCATTGTATTTGATTCGAAATAAATTTAAAAAGTTTACAAGCGCAATGGATAAAAAATAAAATAACACTTAAAATGACAACATTACCTATTAATCAGAGTAATTAGAGTGCATTTAATTTAAAATTTATAATAATTTAGATTTTATGATAAAAAAATATAGATGGAGACAAATAAACACAAAAAAAGCATTGCATTATTATAATGCAACAATCATTTAATTCCCATCGCATATACCTTTCAAGGTTGATACCGCGATTTTTATCGTTTATACTCGTATATGTATAGGTAAATTAACTCAGTGAAAAATTTTATTATTAGATAATAATTTTATATTAATATTGCTATTGTATAAAATGGTATATAATAATTATTAATATATTAATTATAATTCTTCATCTTATCTGACTGCTCATATACTCTGAAATTGTACTGACCAATGCCAATTGGTAAAAATAAACTAATTAATGATTTGTGTAAATTCAAAAAGAATTTCAAGTATTAAAATTGATTTATATTTTTAAAAGATACATATATAATTATTATTTTTAAAAGTTCTTCTTAAGTTTTCCAAAAAAATATACACATTACACCCATTTTATCTATACCTAGAAAATTATGAGATCTGTGACCCTCAGTGTAGTTTCCTAACACTGTTCCAATGAATATCTCAAAAATTCTATTCTGATAACAAAATCAGATTTACTATATTTTTATACTTATTATGTCATTTAATAAAAAAATCATACTGTTTTCAAAAATCATTCTTTTGTCAACTATGCGTACGAGTATATTGTACTTTCGGTCGGTTACACTTGAATTTAACATGTTAATTATGAGTATTATAAATATGAATTATTTATATATGTAAAATGTTCGTATGTAAAATGACATAAGGGATGATGACTTGTTAGTTAGTGTTGACAATAATATTTATTTTTGTGTATATTTAAATATTAGTCATTTCGTGATTACAGTCAATGTATTTGACAATTATTTCATTTACTATTTTTTTTTTTATTTACTTAAATTTTAATAAAAATTTTAATTTAGATTTTTATCAAAATATACATATTATATTTTTTTTAAATGAATTTTTGGTAATTTTTTGTTTTGCTAATTTTATGCGGAAATTAAAAAAATTAGAATTATTTCATGGAATTTAAACTATTGTTATGCATTTTTATTATTTTAGAAATTAAAAAATAATTCTTTTATTTAATTCCGGAATTTTCATTTAAAAAAAAGAGTCAAATTATGAATATTAAACTTTGAGGGTCTATTAGAAATTTTTCAATCACAATTTTTTTTTACTTTATAGTTGGAAAAAGATTTTTCAATTTTTTTTTTCTGCTTTGAGATCCATAGACCATAAAAATTCGTAGAAGGACATTTAAATACATGATATGTGTATTTATAATGTTCAATTAAATTTTGTGGGTACCTACATATGTTAAATACTTTTTCATTTTTTCATAAAAAATGAAAAAGTATTTTTAATTATGTGTAGACAAAATTAATTAAAATTTTGGTACTACTCAACAATTCTATCCTCTCGCAAATAACTTAGAATTAACATACTTTAACATGCAATATGCTTGTCGGCAACATTATAAATATTTCGATGTTAGTATATTTGTCGTACTAAAAATCGATTCATGCGAATGTTAATTAAAAAAGCTAGTAACTTATTATTTATTTAGCATTTCCTCATAAAAGGTAAGTAAATACAACGCTAATATATTTGCTTTTAGCTCGTGCTTATAAATTAATTGTAAATTACTAATAGAGATTGGCGAGGAAAAATTAAACATATAAAAATGCATGTATACATACTTGATTGACTCCTTTTAAGATATTAACATATCGTTTTATAATTTTTTAATTATATAATTGAATAGATTTTTACGATATGTTGTTATCAAATTTCTTTGAAATACTTGTATAGAATCTTAGACTGAATTGTACAAGAATCTTAAATTGAATTTGTGATCGACGATCTGGATGGAATCGAAATTCAAAAAATTTTAACTGAAATTTAAAACACCTAAAATTTTAAAATTTTTTCTTTCCTTCTTTTTTCTAATTTTTTATATTATTAATTATAGATATTAATTTTATTTTGACATTATTAAGATTTTCACACCAAGATTATTATCATATAATAAATTAGTTCTGTCACTAAAAGTATACCAACAACGATATTAAAATATATAAAAAAAATTTACATTTTATAAATATTCAAAAAAATTTTTAATATGTTCTCTGAAAGTAAAAAGATTGATAGAAGTACTAAAATAAAGCTACTTCCGTAAGAAGGCT